TTCTACTCAGAACACATGGTTTGATGAAACACATTTGGCAATATTACTTTTACCTGAGATAAATTCACAATGGATTCCTGCTTCTCTGGCTGAATCAAGTGATGATTTCTCTCATGAAGCAGAATTAGAGTTAATTCTTAAAATGGTTCATTTTATAGCTGGTTGAAGATGTAGAAATGCATCTAAATTTAAGATCTCAGTCTCCAGCTGCTTAATGAGATAAGAAAATTTATTCTTTCCTTGGATGCGGAAAACTCTGCATATATGTAGCAGATAAAGGCAAAACTAGGGAGCTTCACCGAGGCCATAAAGTTTGCTAAAAAAAAACAACTTTCTGAAAAAATGTAAAACAATCCACTGGACTTTGTTTCCAAGTTTGAAAACATTTCGCTTCCCATCCAGGAATCTTTTTCAATTAAAAATGTCAGGAATAACGTTGAGTTTGAGGTTTTATACAGTAGCCCAACAAAGGCTAGTTTTTCGTTTGAAAACATGCAAATTGGAACAGACGAAGGGGTCCGCCCCTTTGAAATGGGGGTCGTTTTGCTTCTTTTGTTAGCCTGCAATGCCCCATACCTGTCTAGGTGTCTGAATGGGGGGGTCGTGAAAGGTGATTGTCGGACTGGCTGAATAGACGAGGTCCTCCGCTCTCCTGTACAGAGTGTGGGGCTGCGATGATAGTGGGAAGGAATTAACTAAATTGCTGCATGTAGGTTTTTGAAAGGTGGAACCTGAGTCCACCGCCTCTGCTTAAGGTTGTTTTTTCTTTCCTAACATAGATGGCTTCTTTCCTCTCAAATCACCTGTGTTCTTTATCCAGATGTGAACATTCTGGTCCTCAAAAGAATGTTCTTCGTCCACATGGTGTAGATGTACTGCACACTCTTCACCAGAGGAGGTCGCTCTTCTGTGTCATGTGTTTGTGGAGAGGTTGTTTGGTTTCTCCAATATAAAGATCAGAGCATTCCTCACTGCAGTGGGCTGCATACACCACGCCGCTCACATTTAGTTTGGGGGTTTTTCCCTGAGGATGCACTAGCCTCTGTCTAATGGTCTTGTTAGGTTTGAAATGTACTGGTATTTTGTTTTTGGAGAAAATCCTCTTGAGTTTTTCACAGAATCCTTAAAAAACAAGCTTGAAAAAAGCTTGTTTGAAAAAAAAAATACACTGAGGGGAAATTATTAGCAAAAAAAATTGAATAAATAAAAGAAAAAAGAATTTTCAATTTCAAGATTTTATTTTTTATTGCAGATTTCTCTTTTTTCCACTTCACACTTATGGCCCTGTTTTCTTGTGCAGGGCAGGGCTTCAGATGAACAGTTCAACACAGCTGCTGAACATCCCTTTTTTATATATATCACTTCCTCTTGCTAACAGGCAAGATGAAATAATAGGTTTAATTCTGATTCTTCTTGAAAACATTTGAGATCTAATCCTTTCCTGAGACCTTGTCCTGTATTATGTTCCTGTGTCCAGAAATACAAACAACACACATGCCAACTCACCAGGGCTGCAGACTGCAGTTAGGTATTTGGGATAAAGAACAATCAGAGGGTTGAAGAACGGGACCCACCCTGAATGGCTGAACAAGGGACGAACAGTCCTGATGATGAAAGAAGACAATGCCAACCAATTATCGGCCGATAACCTGTCTCTCCATAAGACGGAAGCCTCTTTGAGGCATCATAGTGGATCAGCAGGTGCAGGAAGGCAGTAGAGAACCAAAGCTTGAGATGAAGAAGCCTTACATCCTTCCCAGGAGTACGAGAGGGGGATGAGAGAGCAGTTCTATTTATACATATATTATTTTTCCCCCCTCCAATTTTCTGAGACCACTGAGATGTCACCTGGCTACCCTGACCACAAGAAGACAAAATATGCATTTATATTCTTATTTTTGAACTACAAAAGGATTGTTTTATATATTTAAGTTTGTCTCCCTTCACTGTAGTAACAGAAAATTCACTGCAACAAAAAGTGTTATTTAATCTCAGTATGAATCAACATGTTGTTTGAAGGCATCCACTTCACAAAGGACACAACCAGGGAGAAAGATGAGGGAAGAAGCACAGTGAGATTTACACAATACCCCAAACCGAATATTCCACAGAGCTCTGTTTAATCCATCGTGTGAGAAGCTGTTTTCATAGGATGGATTAAACTATAAAGGCAAGACATGGAGAGAATTTGTAATCCAAGATCAGAGGATAGAAGATGGATTAAGCTAAAACTGAGAGAAGACCTGGTAGGAGGTGTGAAGGTCCCGGGACTTTAACAGCAACTTGCAGCCCGAACTCTGGAATGAACCAGTAGAATGAACCAGTAGAAGTCAAGACTAGTTGACATGCTGAAGCACATTTGATCTCCATTTGAATGAGTCCTTCAAGCCTTTTAACAAGAGGAAATTATAGAAATCTGATATAATCCAACCCATCCATCCCTGCTGTTACAGGACAAGATTCCCTCAGATCATTGTTTTCTCACCTGAACCATAAAGGCTACATGTGTTGCATTATTTATAGATAAATAGATAAATCTTAAAGCAGGAGAGTAAGATTTAATAAAGCATAAAGAACTGATACAAAAAGTTTTTTTTTTTCTTCTTTAGATTTTTATAAAGCTTTTGATTGTTTGAATCACACATTTATGCTGAAAACAACATGATTTTTGATCTGGCAATAAATTTATTAAGGCGATCACAATTTTATACAAAGGAATAAATAATTACTCATGGTAGGTGTACTTGCTGTAGGATTGAGATATAAAAGAGGCATATGACAAGGCTGTGGATGCCCTCCATTATTGTTTATTCTTTCAATCGATATTAGGAACAGTACTATAAAAGGAATCTCAGTGTCAAATAAACAAATTCAAATGAATCAGTTAGCTGATGAAACTATGCTGTTTTTTAAAAGATGAACAGATTCCATTAGCTTTAGATTGAATAAATCAATTCTCTATTTCAGGCTTAAAATTAAATGTAAATAAATAGGAACTGTTGCACATTACACAATCCAACATTGCAATCTATGCATAATATAAATATGAATAAGATATATAAAATTTATCCTTTCCAAAGATATGAGTAAGTATGAGAATCAGAACTTTGTGAACACATTGGATAGTTGCAGTTCTATTTTTAACAGCTGGTTAAGGTGAGACATCTTATTACTTGGTTTTATTGTCCAAAATGGAGGGTCTTTCTAGAATAATTTACCTCATCTCTGCCGGTATGAAAGAATTTAATCCAAATAATTAAAAATATTCTTGTAAATTCTATTTGGAGGAATAGATGTCATTGCATTAAGAAAGATGATGTGGTTGAATAATTGTAAGAATGGGTCTAAATGTGGTGGATTTTGATGTAAGGGATGGGGTCCTTAAATTGAAGTGGCAGAAAGCCTTCCTTAAATATACAGATTCCTTTTGCTTTACGATCAAAATGAATGGATTTGTGTTCCTTTTACGATGTGACTTTAGCTGGAACTTTCTGCCAGTGAAGCCCTCTGCATTTCATCAGTACTTTTGCATTGGGAATTAATTACAAACATAACCACTCCACAACATTCACTTTTGGAACAGAAATGTATCGATCATCAGGAAGTCAGTATTTGAAATATATTGGTATAATAAAAGGATCTGCTCTGTTAGTCAATGGGCTCTATGCACAGCTCCACTACTTCCTGAATTTAATACAGCTCCTTTGTTTCCTGTCTTTCATGATTGGATGCACTGATTAATCCAGGTGTGTATGACCTAAGTAACTGGCCAGACACACCTGGATTAATCAGTTCGTCCAGTAATGAAAGACAGGAAACAAAGGAACTGCTTTAAATTCAGGAAGTAGTGGAGCTGTGCATAGAGCCCATTAATGGATTCAGAGGGGAACTTCGGAATCATGGTGGATGATGATTCATATCAGGGTCGTTGTTGTCCCCAATATAACCTAAATTGCCAAAAAAAGAAAAGCAAATATAACAAATTGCTGAAATCTTAACTTTGCAATTTTAGTTCTCTGTTAGAAATTATTTATTATACTCTGGCACTTCAGATGAAGGTATTCAGGTCCACGAAATTAGATGTTACAGTGACATGGGGAGTTTCACTTTAAGGAATGTTTCCTGAATTCAATTAGAAGACATGACATTTTAAAAGACTTTATAACAGATCAAATTTCTAAAATAAAACCTAATTTTGTAACCTACCCTCTGCTTCCAGCAATGAAAGAGACACAATTCAAAATAATGAATGAAACATATTCAACTAAAGAGTTTTTGTCATCAGCATTTAAGTTACACACAGAATACTGTGTATTTTGTAAGAAAACATGAGACTTTGAAACAGTTCTTCTTTTTTTGTGAACCAAGTTTTAAAGTTCTGGACAGATTTCTGAGGCTGGCTAAACATAAAGAACATTGATCTGTCTCCTCTATCTGACACAGTTTGTAGAAACAGTATTATTTGGTTTAGAAGGGGAAAAAAACTATTCATTGGAGTATTTTGGAAACTTTCTTTTCATTTACAGATGTAAGATTTTATTTTTTATTTTTTTTAAGCCCACATTTTGTCATTGGAAAAATAATTTTGACAATTTTTCTAAGTGTGTGAAACTGGTTACATCTAAACATGTAGTCAAATTATATTTGTTGAAACGTTTTGATTTAATTTTTTGTTCTGTTTTGTTTCTTGTTTTAATTTTATGTTGTTCAAATGTCCATACACATAATTTTTTGACGGTTATTTATTGCTGCCTAATGTCTATTCCTACTTTACAGCTTTTATCTTTATTAATTGCACCCTAATGTCTATTCTAATTTACAATGTTTACTCCTATCTTGACTAATTCTGTTTGTGTTGTTCAATCGATTTGAGATTCTTGTATAATTTAACATATCTTTATTTTGTAGCTACTTTGCAATAAAAACAAAGCAGGAGAGCAGAGTTTGCATCTTGCGTCCTTTTCTAATCTTTCCGGCCTGCTTAGGCGGAAGTTGTATTGCGTGCATCACCCAAAACTGTCCGGCGGATGTTGTTCCACGGGCCTTGCCACAAAAACAATGGCGAGCGGGATCGGCAGTGAGTAATGTTTTTATCTCGTTTTTAATGTTATTTGCCACTATCAGACACCAGTAAGGCCGGACTAGAACATATTAGTTTATTTTATCCTAATTGTTGAGGCACAGTAGCCTCGTTGTCCCGAATATCGCTGCAGTGTTGAAAGCTGTGTGTGCTCCATGAATGTTTCCCCCCTTAACATTGCTAAGCTAAGGCGGTAATATAGACCAGAATTATCCGTTTTCGTTTTGTTAGTAGAATACGACTCACATGAAATTTACAAGTTTTTGTTTTTATAAGCCTTTGTGAAATTACAGTGAAATGGGAAGCTGTATCCGTTCCGGAGTTTTTTTGCTAGCCGTAGCAAGCTAGCAGTGCTTGTTTTCCTTCAACATGCTGCAGTCATCATCGGGTGTGTTATTAAATGTGTTATTTATAAATAATAAAAATAAAGTAATTCCTTTATTTGAAATGTAGTTTATTTCACAGACGATATCAATTCAAGTGTTATTGATGCTGTACGCATCTTCCACTCCAACATATTGAATCAGTTAGCTGGTAGGATCCAGTACCTGTCATTAATAAGTAAACATGTTATATGTTGTGTACATTTTAATTTGTCTCTTTTTTTCGCTGTAGAACACAAGATACTGAATGTGGGACCTACAGAGCCATGGTCAATCAGGGAGAAATTATGTCTGGCCTCATCTGTTATGAGGAGTGGAGACCAAAACTGGTAAATCGATTTAAAATGCTGCTCAATAGTAAAGGAGAGAATCTGCTGTCAATCAATCATCAATTAATATAGATATATGTGTATATATAAAGGGCAAAACAAATTCCAACTTTAAAAAAAAAACCTAGCTGCTCTTCCAAACTGGTGAGATAACGATAAACATTTTCAAGAGTGAAAAACACTGTTCAGAACTTGCATTATTGAATTTGTTGTTTTCATACATATAGTCCTATTAAAAGCTGTGAATTGTGCTTATTAAGATGTAGCAAATTTTGTAAACTTTATATATAAGACAACAGATCCACTGAATGTATCCCAGTTGTGAGCCATGCATACAAACTCTCAACTCATGTCATAAATCTGTGTGCCAAGATTATAAAGAGCCTAGTTTAGTAAAGCTTAAGCCCAGATTTCCAAAAGCTTTGCTTATTTTTGGTCCGCTGACACTTGCCAGCAGAAAGAGCGAAAGCTGTTATTATTCCTGAGGCAGGATCGCTAATGTACTATTTAATGGCTATTTTTGCAAACCCCGGTTTTTAAAAAGCTATTACCTGCTAATACCTTTTTTTTTTTTATATATACAAACAATATTTTAGATCAGGGGTTAATGTTTCATAATTGTTTCAATATTTTTTGTCAAACTAAAATGTATTTTAACCTTTTCAAAACGTTTTAACTCAGTGTTTTTACATCCATGCTGTTATCTGCATAGTTTGTTTTTTTTTTATATTTTTTTTTTGTAAAAAACAACAAAAAAGATGTGTTCTCCATACCTTGAGTTTTTTTTTTTTAATTCAATCTAAACTAGCACTTTCTTTATACATTTACAGTGTTTCTTTGTTGAGACAGATTTTTTTCCCCCATTTGCTCTTGAGTCTATTTTATCTTTTGATTTTGGTTCTTTTTCATATTTGTTTAGTCTTGTAGGTACCTACAAGACTAAACTGTTAACTGTAAACTCTAATTTTCTTTATAGCTTTGCCTGTCACACCTGAATTTCCCTACTATAGGATCATAAATTGTATAGTTCTATTCTGTTCTGGGACAAAATGATTGCAGAGTTGGCATTTCAAACTGGCCATACCCCTTTTTGTGGGGTTAGTTTGTCTAGCATTACAAAAACACATGTCTGTGTTTTGGCTAGTGAACATTTGTTCCACTTTTCAAACATTTCCTCCTCCAGCATGTCTTTAAGACAGGTTGAAATAAAGAGATAATTGTTTCAAACATGTCTTAACATGTCTGTGATTAGCTAAAGTAGATTTTCCTCCCTCAAAGTTTCACATCATAGATGGTGGTAGTTAGCCTGACAAACTTCAATGTTTAGTGAACGCTGGTCATGGATGATGAGGTGGAAAATCCTACATTACTTTTGCCAGTTTCTTCCATGGATATTTTCTACCCTCACACTGATTCCTCTTCAATATGCCCTCATTCCATGGATATTTTTTGTCCTTAAGGGTGTCTGTAAGCAGAGCCATCAAGCCTTTCTCAGAGCCTGGTCGACCTCCTGACTGGTTCTCTCAGAAGGTAAGAGACATAAACCTACTGTGCATTTATTACAAGGCTAGGTTTTAGCTAACTTCCTGCTGTGTTTCTCAGCACTGTGCCTCACAATATTCTGAGCTGCTTGAAGCCACAGAAGCACCAAAGTGAGTGCATTAACATTTACACACTGCAGTCATTGTCAGTGATGCTGCAGAACTGAATTTCTAACTTGAGGCCATGTTTATTTAAATGTTCTTGTTCCTTTAGACGCAAGCGTGGGGAGAAGGGAGAGGTGGTGGAGACGATCGAAGATGTCATCGTCCGTAGGCTGACCAGTGAAAGGATTGAGGAATTAAAAAGATTACAGAGAGACACACAGGAGCAGTACAGGTAAGTGGACACTTCAGGTGCATCAGCTTTTGTTATCCTCTTGATTATGTGCATGTAGAACTGATTTTATTATTAAAAATCGGCTTTAATTTTGGTTTATCGTGATTTGGAATTCCAAAATCAAAGGGTCTGTTCAGACCTGCCACATTTGCTCAACTTTAAATGGACCAGTTTGTTTTATTTCCTGGATCTGAACCTTTTCTGCAGGTATGAATAAATATCAGCAAACTTCGGTCAGGAACTAACGGCCAGATCGGGGACTCTGGTGCGATTTGCACCAGGTGTGAATACAACTTACAATTAGAATACAAACCACCTGGTCCAAAACAAACAAGCAGGCCAAAGGACTGGTGTGAATTAAGTTTGGGTGATTGGATGAATCTATCTACCATCGACGATAGAATCAGACCATCAGTGGTTGTTTTTGGTTTATTTAGAGCATTTATTTATTTATTTTTTCTTGGACCTTTGGGGTAAGACATAGCCCACAAAAAAACAAAAACTAAATCTAATTCTGTTTTTAAAGTCGTAGGGAAATCATATTTAAATGTCAAATCATTCTGGCTTAAACATGTATATAAATGTATTCTTTATCAGACCATATTGTCCTAAAAGTTAGAAAATTTCTATGTAAAAAAAACATCCTGTCTTAAAATCTGTGTTTTTTTTTCCTTATCTTATGCAGCCAGTTAATCAGACATCAGCCTGAACACCTAAATTATTCCAAAAACAATAAAATTTTTCTTTACCAAACCAAGCTTCTGCCGCCCTGGCGTCCTCTTCCACAACATCTTCGTCCCCGCTTTCCTCCTCTAAATAAAAAATGTATGATGAAGGAGACTCATCCACGACCTGCGACACTAAACTCTCCTCCTCTTGCATGTTTCCTCTGTCCATAGCGTTCCTTGACAGTGGCGTTTCTAAGTCACCAATTTAGTGCTTCTTGGTCCCAATGGAATTTCCCATTGGGAACCTACTAGCACTAAGTTGCTAACTGGTTAGCAAGATGCTTCTGAAAAACCGGCCACAACCAAACTTGCTTGCGAACCAACCGCAACAACAATCCTATCCCCTTGATAAACGACCAATCAAATTAACTTTATTCACTCGTGTAAAGTCGGGCACCACTCGGGAGAATTCCGAACTGCAACGGTTGGAACAGCCGCTTCCCTACAACTTTAATGGTGCTCACAAGCTCCTTTCAGTTGTAGCTTTTTTCCCCAGAGCCACCGTGCTGCAGCCAAACCAGAACCGCAGAGAGGCTGTTTTTTTTAAAAAGTGTGTGGTACTTATATAGAGCTTTTTCAAGTCAGGCGATGTGACCAAATCAATTTACACTACATTCAGTCATTCACCCATTCACGCACACACCCAGACACTGATGATGGCAAACTTTATTGTAGCCACACCTGCCTTGGGCTCACTGACAGAAGCAAGCATCAATCCATCCATCCATTCATCTTCTCCTGCTTATATGACAGGATCGCTGTGTGACTGGTGTCTATCTCTAGCATTCTATGGGCGAAAGTCACGGTACACCCTGGGAAGATCGCCAGTCTAACGCAGAAAAAAAAAACATCACCTGGATTCGATCACTTTGCATGCATACATTTAGTCAACAAGCAGAAGCTATGGAGGAGTTTGGAACTCTCAGCACAGTTGCAAAGAAAAAAATACAAATCCCTAAAAAATGCAATGATGTTTGATTCCAAGAGGCTTAAAACTGGATTTATGCTGGAAAAAAACAGTCTGACTGTTGGGAGTTTACTGAGTTATTCTATGATCTATCAGTTTTCAATGAGGCGTTACAGCGCGGGTCTAGCTTTCTCCTAATTCTGCTTCTCTGCCAGCAGATGGCGCCACATCTGTTTGTGTCAGCTTATAGCCCCCAGTGTGAGGTTCTATTTAGGCTTCAAAAGGATGATTTAAAAACTATCCTGATGACCACTTGGTTTATATTGCCATATTTTAATCAATTGAATTTTGGTGTTTTTTGGTAGAGGCAATAATGTGACTGTGCACATTGAAAGCTCAAAACTAACCAAACAAAGACTGTGCCTGTCGTATCTTTCCTTAAAGGTTAGAGGTGATTTGCAGTAAAATGTTTTCCTTCCTGTTCCATTCCTTGTCCTGACAGAAAACTGAAGAAGGAGGTGGAACTGATACAGTCGGGTCACATGGACTCCCAGCTCAAAGATCTGTGGGCAGAAATCACACTGTAAGGTTCTTTTCTATCTTATAAAAAATATGTCTAACTTTAATCTGAGTTATTCTGCTGTGCGTGAACAACAACAATCAAGGATTAGTTCTTCTAGAGATGTAGGATTTAACCTTAATTGTGCTAAGATAGTATTGCTATTTTTTCATGATTTTATTGGCCTTTTTTATGCGTGTACACTGGATTCTGCAGTAGCTTTTCTCTATTTTGTTTGGTTGTTTTTTGCTACCACAGAAAGAAGAAACAGGAGGAGGAGGAAGCAGAACAGAAGAGGAAAGCCACAGAGATGGCGTACCAAGGTAGGTTCACACTGCTTACTGTGAACACAAGCAGATCAGATTTCCCTCAAAACGCAGAAAAGCAAAATACACCCAGGCTGGTGCTGCAAAGCTGTTCATCAGTGAGACCTGATCTGCAAAAACAAACTAGCATAAGGTTATGTGACAATGGAAATGCCTCAGCAGTGGTTTTCTATCCTTCTAGTCATTTACAAACACTTGACATAATTTTACCTCATAATTTTGATAAACTGAGGAAAAAAAACAAATATTTGTCTTCATTTAACTTCTTTTTTGTGAGAAAGTAATTGATGTGAAATGACTGGCAGACATAACAGCAGCCGTTAGATAATAACGGCCAGAGGAGCCTGAGAGCACAGAGCTCTGCCGCTCCGACAGGTTTAAAAAGGGCTAAATCTGACTTACCACGTGATGTTTTGGTGTCCGTTTCATCAATTAACTTATTTTTAAAACAAATGAAAGGTTTTAAAACGTCATTTGTAAACTCACCTTTATTTACTGCCGCTTCTGGTGGAACAAATCACTGCAGGACATCTTGCTGACCATATTTCCGCCCCTTCAACAACCCCGGAAAAAGTCACATCATCAGCGTCAATGTGCATTAACACTCTACCCAAGCTTCTCTAAACATTTTGAGATTTGAAACAGAGGCTATTTGATTCAAATATATCCAACAAGATGCTAGACAATGATCTCGGTCTACCACTCTAGTGCCCACTGGCTGAAAATCCCCTTTGTGGCAGTGTTGCTCTCCATTGTTTACGTTCCTGATTTCTGTCATACTGATTACATCCCCAACACTAACCCAGCGTAATGGTGTCATCAGACACTAGGCCTGGGTAATAAAATAGCAATTTAGAAAAATGCAATTTTCAAATCGCAGAGGGACTCAGTTTTACATCACAATACATTTAACAAGAGTAAGAGACTAAATTTCTCCCTCCAGCCCTTAAGATGGAGCTAATATGATTAACGTGGGCATGTTATCACACAAAAGGGAACATAGAGTTGCAGCTAGCAGCTGCAAATGTTACAGTAAAGTCCTGGAACACTGGATTCTGGGCCAGCAGGCTTTCAAAGTCAGGAAAAAACTGAAACGCTGGAGTAAAGCATCATTATGCTTGTGCTTGGCGCGAAGAAAATCGCAATATAGATTTTTGGCAAAATCTTTCAGCCCTATCAGACACGCAGCTGCGTGGGACAGAGGCCTCACCGTTTGACAGCAGGGGATCAGACACAGCTTTTTATTTTTTGCTAATCAGAAAAGAGAAAGATTGTTAGCATTATTGTTTAAAAACCACACTAACCACTAATTTCAGAGGGAATGAGGCTCATCAGTACAACAAAACACCTACGTGTTACAAAGCTTGCCTGGAAAGCCGGGCACCTTTCTGAGAGCTGTGCTTGATGTTCTGGTAAATTTTTAATTGTGTCATTCCAGAGAGATCAGGTTCATGGACGTCAGTATTCCCTCCCAGTTACTGCTCGAATTTTCTGTTAAAACCTTCAGTTTATGACCTATGACTTAAGATGTCCGCCTTTGACCTTCTGTTTCCCCCACAGCGCGCCAGGCACTGAAAAACACGCCGAAGCGCCTCACCAGTGTGACGGTCCGTTCTCCTCTGGGGTCCAGCCCCCCGACCCACGACTCTCAGGCAGACTCTGCGGTTCCCACGCCGCCCATGGACACTGAAGGCGTCCCTTCAGAGGACACCACCATCCACTCAGTTGTAAGAGCACTGTTCTTCAGCACTTATAAATTACAGAGGAAATAGAAAACCTTTATTTTAGCAGAGACGCTGCAGTTCAAACACTGTTTTGCATCTGAACGTGTAAAAAGAACGGCCTTTCTCTGTCAGGCCCAGGGGGTCGGGGTGTTTCTGCCAGCAGCTGACCCTCCGGTGTCGGGACCAAAAGACCTGGCGAATCTGGTTGATGACTCGCCACAGAAGAGACTGCTGACGCAGAAAGCCACGCCGCCGCCGTCACCTCTGTTATCAGAGCTGCTGAAGAAGGGAAACCTCATATCAGCCAGCCCACGCCTGGTGAGATCAGCTTTCACATTACAAATACCAGTGATAAGCAGAGGCTAATTCCTACCCTAGCTTTTTCTTTTAGTGTGTTATTTGTTAATCCCTATAACAAATAAAAAAGCCTTTTACTCTCTCCCATATCTGACGTTTTTCCGGGTATTTTCTGGTTTTAGGTATCCGAAGGAGACACAACCAATTTAACGAACGGTCTGCAGACTGCAGCTGTAGTGCAGAGTCACGAAGTTTTTACAGGTAAGCAAACTGAGGTGTAGCTAGCTCTGGAAACTAAAGAAGGGACAAGAGCATTAAATGCTCCAAGTTGATGTCACAGTCGCTTCCCTCAAAGCAGCGCATCTTTGGGATTTTCCACTAATGTTCCCAGTGGCTTGAAGGAGAGAGCTGTTTATTGAGAGCTTTCATTCAAAATTAAATACATTAATTGTCAATTAATATTCTGTAAAAGAAATTAATAAATATCCCCATGAAATAAAATAAATATGCTAAAATAATTTTATTAATTTATTTTCTAATTAATTACATAATTTATTTATGTATTTCATAATAGCTTTTTGTGACTCTTTTATTTTGTAAATACTTTAGATATTCAGTGACTTTTTTTAACATTTTCATTTTAAGCTCTTTATGTTTTTAACTTCTCATATTCAAATAAGGAGGCGGGGTTTTATCTGTCGGGCGGCGCTGGTTAGGATTGGCTGAGTGAATTTGATTTGAAGTACTCCAATCATTTTGACCAATCAAATCAAAGTATTTCCTCTTAATCAGCTCTGTTTGGTTTTGTCACTACCCGATCTGTACCATCAGCTTAATTGTGCATTTGCAAGCAGATATTCATCCAGGTTGCCATAAATAATGTTCTTATGGTACTAAAAGTACATATTTCTATCCTTAAATCACTAAAGAATTTTTATCTACATATTTATAAAAATAATTAATGGCTTTTTCGAGCCACAAAATATCTTCGCAAAATAGTAATACTGAACTTCTTGAAATGTTAAAAATGTTGTAATTTGCACTTATTATAATTCTGTGTATTTAATTTCCCTCTGTGATCAATAAAGTATTTTAATTGGACTGATGTGTGCCTGCCAGGCAGCGTTATGTCCCACAGAGAGAACCAAATCCAACATCTCTGAACTGAATTTATACCTTAAATAAATACATACCAGCTGGTCCAGTTGGATCGACTGATTCTGCAGCTTTCCTTTCTCCTTTATCAGTTTCCTCCACACTCTCCTCTTTCTTCTCTTTGACTCTGAAATCCTCTCATCTTCCCCACTTATGCTAACATTATTTTCCTCCTCTTCACATTTTATTTATCACATGAACAAAGATCCCTTTAATTTGATGGTTATTAGGGTATAACGATATTCTTCCTCCAGTTACAGGATAAAAATGATAACAAATGTAACACAAGTCTAAAAGGAATCAGAAAGAAAACCTCAAATTAAGGAGTTATAACTTGGTACTTTATGTACACAATCCTTCTCCACTTGTCTTTAAAGTCAAGTTTAACAAAATAAAACAGCTCATTTAGATCCCTTTTCATACCACAATTTATTTTCTCAAGAGGGTGCACAAAAGAATATGACTTGTGTGGGAGTAGCATTAGCAACATTAGCAGTTAGCCATGGTTTGTTTCCCTGTCTGTTACACTGTAGGTAGAAAGTTACTCAAGCAGCAACACCTTACGACCCCCAGCTGAGTCCCTGATTGTTGGAATCGCCCCTTTTGCTGTAATACAGACAGGAGTAGTGATAGCGAGGCGGGCTAATGCTAGCATCCCTTCAGGAGTGATGGAAGTATACAGGACGACCCAAATCATGCTGCATGGAGATCGAGCTCTAGTGGGATTTCATGTTTTGAACAAAGAACCAAAACAAAAATAAAATAAGTCACTTTTACACTTTTCCCAACTCCAACACACACATTTTAACAGGAAAAAGTCTGCACAATGACTCCTCTAAATATTCAAACTAGAGAATAATAATGTGCAGCAAATGGAGCGAGCTGCAACACTCGCAACGGCTGCTCGCAACACATTGGATAAATATATTACAATCATTCCAGTAAGATGCTCATTTCTATTTGTTTGTTTCTCCTCTGTGTTCTGTCCAGATTGGGCAGTCACTCTGATCAGAAATTATTTACCCGCTTTATCCTCAGCACTGGTTTTGTACAGGAAGATCAGAGGTGTTACACAGCCTCCATTTCCTGTGTAAATAATCACCCATTGAACAATGTTGTTTAATAAGTTATAAGATAATAACATAACTTTAAAGCCTGAGCTAATCCTTTGAAGTCATAGGGAAATGATATTTAAATGTCAAATCATTCTGGCTTAAACATGTATATAAATGTACTCACACGATATTGTACCAAAATTTAGAAAATTTCTGCTTTAAAAAAAAATCCTGTCTTAAAATCTGTGGGGTTTTTTTCATTATCTTATTCAGGCGAGTTAGTTATACGTCAGCTTGTACGCCTAAATTCGACCAATCATATATCAACGGTCATCTGTCAA